AATCCGCACGCAGCATGCATGATTTTGCACCTTATGGCGCTGACGCACAAAATTGCTGGCCACGGCCACCGCTGTTCCGATCGTTCGGTGTGTGGCGAGCATGGCTGGGGTTCGCTACCGATGCACAATATTCGCGGTTCTAGGAAGCCAGTGGCTGATCTGATTTGTTGCTTGTGACAAAACACATTACGGCTTCTTCGCTTTCGCATATCCACTAGCGCAATGGGCTTGCCTGCCAAGTTTGAGGCGGAGTTGGGCTTAACCATGACTTCAAGCAAAAAGCGGGGCTGCGATGTGCATGGCCGTGGTGCTTGATGTTTCAAAGTATGACATGCTCGATCGCGCGTACAAAGATCTGTCCCCTGGGGGTCTTGGTTGCAAGGTCTGAAGCGCTGCTAGTAGAACTTTTTCGCCAACGAGTCAACACTATGCCATTCAATTCGATACACGCGTGTGCGATGTTCGTGACGAGTACGATGTGCGATCGTAATCTGAAGACTGAACTTCCCCTTGTAGCTGCCTTAACAACCCGTGAACACACAACGAGCTCGAAAATGTCACTAAGTAGTGCAATTTTAGACGGCTGTGACCTTGCGACGCACTAGAAGCAGACGTCGCTATCCTGAAGGCATATCTGGAACGAGTATCGAACTAGCGAGGCATACTTGAGTAATATGGCAGAAGCAGCCAATTGGAATCCTCTGAATGAATTTCAAACATCTGCTTTTTGAACACGGAATACTATTTACAAAATACTTTTATGACGAGCCCAAAATGGTAATGGCAGTTGTGCCGTCGGAAAGCTACAAAATTTTAAAAACTCCTTTTTTTTTACTTTCATGAAAGTTTTCACCACCTTCGCAAGCGCAAAAAGCTTTTTATAGCACTTGTACGTAGTTTTCAGTAAAGATATTATGTGATCAGATAGAGAAAAGGCTCTGGACACTGAAAAGGGATTTCCAAAACAGCAACTTTTTTATGCCCCATTGTGAATGAAATCGTATATGACTTGTGATTCTCTACGGTTATAACAGACCTATTCAGCGTTTCCATAAAAGTCTGTTGTAACAGTACTTGAAAACATGCAAGTAGAGCACCCGCCTGCCGCCCTGCACACGTGCTTGAAAATTTCAACGTCCTGGACTGCCCCTAACAACTGCCACGCCACAGACCTGCTGCTCAATCTTGCGTCGCCCAACATCGGCTCTGGCACGAACACCGCGTCGACTGATCAGCGTATGCCTAAAAATTACACGTAATCAAAGGCCAGAGAAAGCCATCTATCCTCGCTCTCCGAGTCGGCTCGCCATCACGCTAAGCCATGTCGCACTAAGTCTGCATACCTGCCAAGTCTCCTGGATTTGGACTGTTTCTTCCGTTTGTGCGGTTGTCATGAAAATCTCCCGGAAATCGAAATTTTTGTGCGTGATCCGGCCGTCTTGACAAAAAAGCACCTCAATTCGCTCCATGCTTTTTGAACCTACTTCATTTTATTATGAATAAGTTTAAGAGGCGTTCATCTAAACGTGCAGTGGAATCTCAGTGATGGGGAACCGCGGCAGATACAAATTCGTGAAATTCCTCAGAGAAATTTTATTATGTCTATTGGGCCTAAATTCGAATGTTCCCAACACATTTTCTCATCGCGGCAGGTGATACGAACTTTAGTACGGAAATTGTCAAACGAAGGCCAAGAGCAGCGTACTCGAAGCTTCGGAAGTACACATGCGACCGGTGCACGCTCTGTCTTCTATAGTGTGCGTGATTGTCGTTGCCACAACTGCTGTCGACGAAACCGTGGTCGCTTTTGATGTGATCATGTATGGCGACGACGTAACTGACAGATTGCCGAAAGTGTGCGTGCGTCCAACACTCAACCAGTCAAAGCAACGCTGCTTTCCGCAAACCCTGCGGATAATATCGCGTCAGATACGATCGTAGACGACATAAAACGACTTTGTTTTGAAGACGTGTGCGCAGTCAAGTGCAAGTGGATTGAAAAATGAACTACCATTTGCCGCTACCGCCACGCACAACACTGTGGTCGTGGCGGCGCGATAGCGATCTACGAGCTCCAAGGGCATGCAGCAGCAGACTAAAGGCAGTAAATACGTAAAAAAAGTCAGTTTCGCCGCAGGGGCGAAGCAATGAATGCGATAGCAACAACTTGGAATGTCACACTGAGAACGGCAAGCAGATCAAAACGTGCAGTGCGCTGCTCACGCACAAATTATACACGAAAACAATACACACAAGACGTGACCGAACTAAAACTTTACCGCACAACACGTAATGTGCTGTTTAAAAAAAAAAGCGGTGCTCGATACATAATCACAGGTACGGATGAGTACACACTAACAAGTGTCCCTATACCTCGCTGTGTATGAACAGCGCGCTCTTTTCGCAAACGGGGCCTGTGCGTAGACCGAAGATACCTTTGTGGGCCTGGCAAATAACGCAATCGTACCAGTGAAAGCCGAAGACACAAGATTATCCCCACAGAAACATAAGCGCGCGCACAAGCATCAATCCCTCCTCCCCCCCCTCCGCGGGGCAAAGTACGCATCAGAGATAAGCGCCCGTCGGCGCATTCCGACAAGCTGGGCACCGAGCGCGGCTGTTTGTTTCTAGAGTGTTAATATATATAGATAAGTGTACATATACAGTGAATGACGACGGTGGCGGCGACGGCAAAAGACCAGCCTAGACTGTCAATAACAAAGGGGCCAGACACGTTTTGGCATTCCTGTCTAAAGAATCTAGTAGGGAGCAAAGCCTTGACCCGAGTTTTTGCGGCAGCCAGCTGCGCCCTCCCGTCTGTTCACGGGTGTCCCAGTAAGACATACAGTCGAAGCTCGATATATCGAACGGCGCGGCAATCGCGAAATAGTTCGATATATCCAGAATTCGATATAAAAAAAATCACGGAAAAAATGCGTCAACAGCTTGCTGAAAACAACCAACGAACCGTTCAAGCGTGGTGCAGTAAATACTCACTTGAAGATTCAAACATAGTATTTATTGTGTTGGTTTAAGATATTGAAAAAGAGCAGCCTGCTTTTTGTTGGCCATGGCGTGTTTGACGACTGCGTCCTCAATATAGTCCAGGCGATCCATAAGTGATAGGCCGGTGCCTTCAATCGCGCCGCCACTGCGGCGCGCAAGGGTCAAGGCAGCTACGACCTCAGCTGATGTCGGGAGCGGGGCACCATCAGCGCTTGCGGGATCCACCTCGGCAGAGTCTTCATTTGGCTGCTCAGCAGTAGCTTCGGCGACAATCTCCATATCCGTGAGCGCCGCCATGAGCTCCGCCGTTAGGCCTGTAGTGCACCACAGCGCGCGACAGGCCTAACTCCGAACGTACGAACACTGCGAGCACAACGACCGATGCCTGCCGATGCTACGGGCGAGGAGCTTTCAACAAGTGCGCAGTGTGCCGTTGACACCATAGAGACTGCAACGACTGCAAGCTGCAAGGCTGCGGCGCGCATACGCCGCTACCTTAAAAGTGGTGCTCTTGGCGCCATCGATGTGTGTAGCATTCGTAAACGCCCACCGCTCTACCGCTACTTTCGAGAGTTGCGGGAAAGTTCGCCGCCTGTCAATGGAGCGCGGGCGGTTTGGGGTGGCTGAGTTCGATATATCCATTATATGTCAAACTTTGTTCGAAATAAAAAAATCAATAATGCATGCGATTTCCCGCGTGATATAGGAACCGTTCGATATAGGCAATAATTCGATATGTCCGTGTTCGATTTATTGAGGTTTGACTGTACACAATCTGTTTTGAAGGAAATATTCTGCTAGTTGTGTTAATCCTTTGAGACTCTCACCTTAGTGGGAAACCCTACCTTCATGTGTTCGGCCACTCCAAGCCGACCCCAATGCTGATGCTTGCACTTGCGATTGAGACCCCCCACCCCCGCCCGCGCCGATGTTTTTTTTGTTTGTTTGTTCTGGTGTTATTTTTTTGTGCCGCAAAAAAATAGGAGCAAATAATTCAGCCCCCCCCCCCCCCCCCCGCTGCGAAAATCTCCCGGATTCAGAATTCTTCAGTTTGGCAGGTATGACTCTGTCCACAGCACACGACTACCAACTCATCTGCACCCTACTCTGCAGACCATGCAGCTGCTGCAGCCGGTAATGTGCTGCCGCAAGCAACGCTACCAGCACACATTATCTGCATGGACCGTACTCCCCGTCAAGGCTCCCTCCAGAAGCAACATGGACGTACATCTAGACCCACTGGACTGGCTGTTCTACACTCATGCTACAATCCATCCTTCATACATCAGTGCTCGAGTGCGTGCGACAACCGACTGCACCGAAGTGTTCCTTCGTCACGACCATCACCCTCTGCGCCATTCACAGTGTCGCCCGCCAGAGACTCACTGGTTGCCAATAGTGCCTTCCTGTTAATGACCTAGACTGCTCACGGACCGTTTTGTAACCCACTTGTAGATATTCTCTTATTTGTTTCATTCCGGTTTCATTTCTGTGGGGGTTGGGGAGTAGGGGAGCAATCTGTAGCGTCGTGCTAGCAATTTCTCATCATCATCATTTCTTAGACACCGTGCCGCGCCTCTTGCGCAGTTCATGTTTAGTTCGAGCTGCGTGAGCAACGGAATGGGTTCACGCACCAGGCGTGTCGGACGCTGGCATCCGTCGCTGCTCTATTCTGTTTGAGGAATAAAAGTGGCGAGATTGGCAGGGCCCCGTCGGCCTCCTTCACGGTGTCGTCTCACGTGTCTTCTCCTGCTACAAACACTAATATTGAGAAAATTTTGGTCAGCATACCTGTCAGCCTGCTCGCTTTGTACGTAATGTTGATATTATGAAGGGCTTTTAGTCGTTTCTGTCATTTGACGTAAGATTTCTTGCTCCTTTTAATGTAATAACATTTGGCTCATATGGCAAAAGGTGTTTTATTTGTGAGTGTGCATGGTTATAACAGTACACGGCCCAAGCAAGCTGAGGCTTTCACTGCTCTGGGACTGCAGGTGGTGCATGGTGGACCTCTGCCACCTGATCCTCAGGAGAAGTACCATCCTCACGACAGCTTCACACTGGATGGCACGCTACGCCCAGCAGCGTTTGATGCCAGTGACCAAGTTCAGAAATGTGAGCCTCTCTCATGGCCTGCCAAACTGGGGTGACCAATCTGAGAGGACGATTGCAACGTAACTCGTTTAAATTGCCTTATTTACTCGAATACTCCAAGTGTTGCACGTGCACCCTGAATACAATTCACAATACTATACCATTTCAGAAGCTTACGATAAGTGGAACTGCACTTTGTGCCTAAGCTATACCTTTGCAATATTTTGTTGCTGTTGAAAGGCGATCACCAAAAAAGCACAAACAGGGGCATGTTGCAGTAAATATGTTGCAAATAGACGGAAACTTGGCAATCTTCAGCAGCCTCTGAGCCTACAAGTGGAATAGTTAATGCAGTTTTTACACACCCTCCAGAAGTTTAACTGTAAAGGGCAAGAAGAAATGACTGTCACCTCTTCTTTTTTTTTGTTTAGCTGCACAAGACGTGGAGTGTTCTATTTAAAATTCAAAACCTTTAATTATATAAGTGCCGCTGTCTTTCAATTAAACTGCTCTAAATCTAAAGTTTGCTTTAGCCAACATTGGGCAAGTGGATGACTTGTTACATTTAATTGTAATATTTTGTGTAATTGATTTCCTATGATAATGCCCAACTCGGGCACTGTAGGTATATGTAATAAATAAATCAATAAGTGGAGCTTGTTAGTTTAGAGACGAAGCAAAAGCCAAGGTAGTGGAAAAAAGATAGCATCGATCCTGCTTCTTTTTATTCAATATCTGCCGTGTTTCGATTCCACGTCAACGCTTCTTTGAGCGCTCATCTTGCATAAAAGCTGCCGCAAAATTCCGACTCGGGAATGCAGATACTCACGGTATTTCTGTTGTGCTTACCAAGGAAGCTGATTTGTTTGTTATAGCATAATAGAAAAAAATTTATCATGCTTACAAATAGAAGGCTTCAATAAATTTTTAATTGCTTAGAGAAAGGGATAATTTAGAGTAGGCAGATATGTGAGGCATTGCCTATAGATCACTCTAGGCCAAAACAAAAAGTTTATGCAGGGAGAATTCTGAAGGGTGACGCTACGGCAAGGATTAGTATAAAAATAAGATTCTTCCTTCTTGACCAGATGTGTAAAGAGGGCATCTTAATTACCATGTGTGCTATAATAATTATTTGGTGAGGTCATTCATATGTTCTCAAGCAAGTTGCAAACATGAAAAATGCTTGTTTGGCAGGCCACCAGCAGGTCTGGCAACGTCTTGTTTTGAATCTTGCTACTGTTTGTTCCTATAGTACCCTTTAGTATTGCAGGAATGGCATAGACAGCTTGTAGCTTAAATCATGGTTGACAAATATGTGCTCTGTAAGGATTGCTGCTCTGTAAACTAAAACATTTTTCGAAGTCTGCATACGTGCAAAAACATGTTGAGCTAGCAGCCGCATGTATCGGGGAAACGAGGCATGTGAACGAAGCATATTGATAGGCTAGCAGCCAAATGTGCACGTTAGCAACAAAATGAAGTCAGAAAACGAAAGAAAGCTGGGAGGTGAATGCATTATTCCGGAAAGTCGCCTCTGAACTTTTCAGGCCTCCTACATCATGTGAACTACTCCATGGAACTGCACTACATAGAAACTGTGTTGAACGGCGACTGAAATTTCGGGCATATGTATCTACTTTATAAAGTAGTTAAAGAACTCCTTTTTAGCCGGTCCTGCACTATCGGTGCCTGTGCTGCGTGTGGCCTCCTCTGTAAGCTAACTGGTTGTATTTGGGGAGTCATTCTTCTACGTAGCAATGATTGTTGCCTGTCTTGCCTACTGTTCTTGCGTTAATTCCTCACATGTGGTATTTCCCAATCATGAAGAATGTTTGGCTATCAATCAGCGGCGCGCAACACTCTTGATAGCCAAGTAGTAAGTGCACTGTAGAAACAGTACACAAAGCCGCCAGATGACGATTGCTGTTGTGTGGCAGAAGAATTGCCCAAATACGTCCATTAGGCATAGTGTTTGAGCTGTGTAATACTCCAGCAAATATTTTCTGCTAACTGTGGTGTTTTACAGGCTGGGCTGAGTGTGCAGTGAAAGAGGAAGAGCCAGAATTGGAGCCAGAGGAGAAAGAGCAGCCAGCTATGTGCCCGGATGAGGTGAGTTGCAGCCTCCCAGGCATTAGTGACTTGTCAATTTGAGGAGTGCTTGTTTGATATTTTGGGCACAATGGAGCCCTCAGCCACTTTAACTTTAACGTACAAAAAAACCTCAATAATTCGAACTATGGTATTTTAAAAGGAACCCGAACATTTGGTGAAAACCTCCATCAACCTCTCTACAATCACTCGAGCCATCAGCTTTCTATGCGGGAAAAATTCCACCCATTTAGCGAAGTGATCCGTGATCACCAGCAAGAACTGGTTTCTGCTAGGATTTGTGGGGTGCGGGCCCATTACGTCACTCGACGCGATTTGCCAGGGAGTCTGGCTGTTAATCGGTTGCATGAGGCAGGGTGGATGTCCACCTTAAGGCTTGACGCTTTGGCACACACGACATGAACGGGTGTAGTGAATCACATCTCGCATCATGCCTGGCCAGGTAACGAGGCCACACAACTTGGCATAAGTCTTAGGGCTGCTCGCATGCCCGGCAATGCACGAATCATGAAAGTAGCGAATATGTGCTCCTCTCAATGTGCGTGGTTTCAAGACCTTGGATGACTCACTTGTGTCATCCTTGGATGGGTGTACCTCAGCAGGACTCCATCAGAAAGAATTCAGCAGATAAGAATCCTGCGAGCTCACAGCACTACCAGCTGTTGCCGAGCGTTCCGCACCTACATCAATACCAGCTGCCCCCATGTGCGGGGTGGCCTCACAGCCACCTGGCTCCTGAAGCCCGTCAAACATCTCTCGATGAAACGAATCTTTCTGCTGAGCTTCCAAGAGTTCTTTTCTGCTGAAAACAATCCCTTCACTATCGACATCCTCTACGTGGTTCACGCTTTTGCCTTGAACTAACCTTTGCTCCGCTGTTTCCATTAGCGCAAGTGTCTCGCTCTCAGTTCGTTCCGAGGTAGTCGCGTGACTTTCATGTCGGACTGGAGCACGTGGTAGTGCGTCGGCTGTAGCATTGTTCTTACCCTTGTGGTAGCGAACGGTGAATCGTAATGCTGCAGCAGCAATGCCCAACGAGCCAGGAGGCCACTTGTTTCGTTCAAGCGCCTGAACTATGTGAGCGCCATGTGATCAGTCTCAATCACAAATGCAACTTCATCGAAGTCAAACTTATGGAGAGCGAAAACTATTGCGAGGCACTCTTTTTCGGTTATGGAGTAGCTTCTCTCCACTGGCATCAACAAATGGCTCGTGAACGCAATCGGTCGGAGGGAACCTCCATGGTCCTGAAGCAGAACTGCTCCTTAGTTCTGGTCGCTTGCGTCTGTTTCAATCACAAACTCCCTGTTCAAATTTGGTAGCTGCAGTTCAGCCTTTTTAACCAGCAACTTCGTGAGTCGACACAGTGCGATCTCCTGCTTCTGGCTCCAAGCCCAACGCTCACCATTTCTCAAGAGCTTCGTCAAAGATGCCTGCACTGCCACGCAGTCTATAGTGAATTGGTGATAGAAGTTCACCATCCCCAGAAAGGGCCTAAGCTCACCGATATTGTTCGGCGACGGATAGCCGACTATCGCTTCTAGCTTACTCTTATTCGGCAAAATGTGACTCTTGTCAAGTGTGAATCCCAATAATGGTATTCGGGTTGCCGCTATCTGAGCTTTGTTTTGGTTTAGAGTGATGGCTGCAGACCTCAGCCTTTCTAGAACATCTCTGGTCCAAGTGCTCTTCGAACGCTTTCGAGTAAACCACTATGTCGTCTAGTTATGCAAGGGCGTGCTGTTACTTTGCACCTCCCAAAACACGGTCCATTAACCTCTTATATGTAGCGGGAGCTCCTACCAAGCCAAAGGACATTCTCCTGAATTGAAAAAATCCTCTGTGTCATGGGGGAGCTGACTTTTCTTTGTCCCGCTCGTTCATTTCAACCTGAAAGTATCCACAGCTAGCATCGAGTACTGTGAAGTACTTCGCCCCACCTGGGTTGGATACTAAGGATGAAATAGATGGAAGAGGGTAGGCGCCCTTCTTTGTAACGCCATTTAGCCTGCTGTAGTCTACACATAGGCGATACATACCGTGTACAGTAGACTCTCAGTAAATAGAAATCTGTTAAACGGAACTACTGCTTAAACGGAACTATTGCCTCTGAAGTGCTTGGTTTCGAGCTTGTATTCTGCACCCATGTTGACCTCTCAGAAAACGGAACTCCTGTTAATAGAACATATTTTTCTGGTCCCTTACACGAATCACACTGATGACAACTCACTAAAGGTCTGTACTGTTTTCACAACAGTAGCAGAGTGAAAGAGTCACAAATGACTAGCCAGGAATGTTTTTATTAAGATTCCATTTCGCTCTCACTGTCTTTGTTATCGAAAGCACTCGCCTCGGCATTGACGTCCTCCCAGAGATGATCATCCTTAGCGACGCTCATGCAGTTTGAAATTCCAGTTACTTTGAAACTTTTGGCGACTACTTCAAATGAAACCGCACACCACACACTCAAAATCCACTCAAAAGCTTGTTGGAGTAACGCCTGCTTCAGCCGTACCGTCGGGGTGTTCTCATGATTGCCCTCAGCCATCCATTTCGAATAGCAGCGGCGAAATTTTGCTTTAAATGGAAGGTTACTGCACACGTCGAGCGGCTGCAACACACTCGTCAGTCCTCCAGAAATAATGGCCAAATGTGTATGAGTCGTGGCGAGTCTGTTTTTGACACAATCCGTCAAGTGGCCCCTGAAACGGTCCAGAAGAAGGAGGGCTTTCCGCTGTAGCAGGCCTCCAGGTCTGTTTGCCCAGATGGTCTTCACCCAGTTTACCACAAGTTCCTTGCACATTCAACCCTTTTCTTGGGCACACACAATAATGTCCTGAAGGAACCTCTTTCCTAGGAGTCTTCCTCTAGAACACGATGTACGGCGGAAATTCCTGCTGTCTGCCGTCGCGCACAGCATGACAGTGCACCTTTGACATTCTGCACCGGTCGTGCGCTCAGTCACACTTTTCTTGCCTTTTAAGTTGACTCTGGTGCTCTCTGGCATGTCGAACCACACAGGAGTCTGGTCCGCATTGCCAATTTGGGAGAGGTCATATTAGTGCTCCCTCCGAAGACCATTCACAAAGTGATGGAATTTCATCGCCTTACATGTGTACTTGCTTGGAAGTCTTTGACAAATCGTCATTCGGCGGTGAATAGAGAGCTGGTTGCGGTTCATAAACCGCATAGTCCATCTTCAACACTTGCCTTGAATTGTGCCTGAGGGATTTCGATCTGGCGACCGATGTTCAGGATTTTCACGCGTATCATATCAGTCGATACGGCGTAGCTGTCCCTTCGAGTATCGAGGACATATTTGAGAAGTTCGCCTTCTAGTTTTGGATATTTGCACTTCTTCCCGCAAAAGGCTTTTCGGCTACAATTGGTGGCAACGAGGGCATCTTTCTGCTTCATCCAATAACGCACGTGCTTCTCATTTTAGCCGTACTTGTGTCCAGCTTTGCCCTTGCCATGCTTCTCGACGTATTCAATCACTTGCAGTTTAAATCCTGCATTGAACTATTTCAAGTGTCGGCTCATCGTCCCTCACCTGCACTGGCTCAAAGACATCAATTCGACGAAAACTTATTGACTCGATGCGAGCGATGCGCCACACAAAATAAAAATGGCGCCGCCCCGTCTGTCACTCCGAGGTCCATCACCGGCACAACGGCGGAAGCAAAAAAACTGGCAGCGCCATCTGGCCACAATCGAACTAACTGCACCTTTATGGCAGGACTTTTTGCGTTTTCTTTTTAATTTTTTTTCTCGAAATTTCTTTTTTCAAAGCAGACGTGCGGCCCTTACACGAGGGCTGCCCTTACACAAGTATATACGGTATTATCCTTCTTTGGAAGTAAAACAACCAGGAAACCCCATGGGCTTTTTGACCCCTCAACTACGCTTGTGTCAATGAGTTCGTCCAAGGCGGCATCCAGCGCATTCCGCTTAGCCAAGCTGATCTGTTGGGGATTGCATTTTTAGGGTCATGCATCCCCCATGTCGATACTGTGCTAGACCAGTGTAGTGCAGCTTGGGCAGGCAGTGAACATCTTGTCATACTCGTACAATAGCAACGACAGTTGCGCTATTTCCCCTTCTAGCAGGCTCTGTGCCTCTACTAAAACCTGACGCACTTACCGTCCCTGTAACGCTGCACATTGTTCTGGTGGGGTCACTCGCTTTCTCGACTTGCTTTCCACCTCGCGTACTCCTTTGCCAACGCTGGAGCCTTCGAGAAAAGTTCTCGCACGTTTTCGTTGCGCACTCGATAACCTCCCTTTGCAATGTCATTGACGATACCAGACTTGACAAGGAAGTCTCGACTCAAGATTCAAGGCATTTACAGCCCAGGAAGATGCACGAAATGTTGTCGCCTCACGCTTCTCTTCCAGCGGATCACTAGCCTAGCTGCACCTCTCGATTATGCTGTGCCTGTAGCATGGCGGAAAATGGTGTTGCTTTGACTCAAGCGAATATTGTTCTCGCAGAGATGGTGCAACACATCGTCCCCAAATAAAGAAGCGCTTGCCCAAGTATCCATAAGTGCTATGAACTTCTTTCGAGCTATCGTTAACTTTAGCGGCGTGGGTGAGTCTACGGCATCACCTGCACGACAAGCTGAGGGTGCAAGAGATCCAAGCGCATCGATAGAATTACTGATCGCTGGGCGGTGTCTGATGCGGTTCACCGGCGGCGGCGGCCGTTTCCCGAACCGTGCGTTTGCTCCTGACCCGGCATGTGGTCGCATTCGTGGGCGATGTGCCCCGGCGCGCCACACTGGTAGCAACAGCGGTGGAAACCATGCTGACTCGGTTGCAAGTCGCCTCGATTCGGCAGGCCTCGCTCCGCATTGCGCCGCTCGTCTGGCTCTGTGTCAACCGGGTGCTTCTGCCATGGGGTGCCATGTGCAGGGGAGGCACAGGTCGTATGGAGCGCATAAGTGTAGGGGTCCAAAGCGAGATCTGACAGTGCCCTTAAACTAGTTGTTGGGCTAGTTGGTAATTCGTCATACTGTAAGAAATTTAGTGCAACTTTGTACTCCCACAAACACCCATACATTCACTCACTCATCAATCAGAAAAACACACACCATACGCAGCACTCACTACCAACAGTTTATTGTGCCTAAATGACCCTCTTATATATGTACAGGTTAAATGCGCAAAGGATGCTCAGGTCTTTCTGGCTGCTCCAAGCCTCCTCAGAAAGCTCTTTTGGCTGATTCAAGACTGCTACCAAAGGCACTTTTGCCTGCTCGCAGGACTGCTCCTGAAGCCATGGACCACCCTGTTGCACACCTGAGTGTTTTAAAAATGCAGCATTGAACAAATGTTGCACCATAAGTGGTGTATAAAGAGGCTCTATCTGCTCTGAACATTTTCTTTGGCTGCTCCAAACTTGTTAGAAAAAGCCTTTATGCCTGCTCTAAGCCTGCTCCAAAATCTCTTTGCTCCAAAATCTCTATGCTCCAAGCTTACTACAAAAGGCTTTTTTGCCTGCTCCCAGGACTACTCACCAATCAATGTACCCTGTTCCACCCCTGCCCTGTGTTCATAAATCAAGGAAGGCATTGAGGGGGATTTGCTGGATAGAGAACTTACCGTATTTACTCGCGTAATGGATGCACTCGCATTATAAACGCACCCCCCACCTTCAGTAATCAAAATTTAGATTTACTCCCCCCCCCCCCCCCCCCCCCCACGTAATAAATGCACCCCCTACATTCATCCGCTGCAGTCCCGCTAACCGCCACCTGGCGCCTCGTCACCGGTTGAATCTCTCGCTTTTTCTTATTTTGCTGGCCACCTCAGCTCGCTCTCCCCCCTCTTCCTTCCTCGTTGCTGCATGCTGTATTGTTTTTCTTTCTATCTGTGCGCGGGACGTCCCCCGCATTTTCTGTGTGCCACAGCGAGGCTCACGAACGGTGCTAGTGTAGACATCGCAGCTAATAAGTACACAGCAAGCGAAGGTCACAAAGCTGCCCGCGCCAACCGACGATCGCTTCCTGCGAATACGAAAAAGCCCAACCATGCGCACGCGATTTTCGAGCGATGATGACAGCATTTGCTGTTGCGAAGGGTCATATGTCGCTATTGCGTTTCATGTTTCTGGAAAACTATAAAAAAATAGCTTCTCGTCCAGCAAAGGTCATGACCATTTCCGCAACTTGGTAGCACCCATGATTCTCGCTTCGCTTGTTGTCCACGCGTAGAGGAACTTCTCATGTAGAAGCGAGGTGGCAGACATATTTTGTTGTCTAATCTTGTTATTGGCGGTTCGTTTTAATGCTTCAGGGGTAGCTTGCTGCAATGCTGGTTACTTGCTACGATGTCAACGGTGTCGTCACGGTCATCGTGCGAAGCTGCCGCAAAGTTGGCAAAGTGCGTCGTAGTGCATGCTTTTGGGCCCCCCTCGCAATCACAGCAGATATTGTGGTTAAACAATTGAGAAAATAGATAGTCGCAAAACGCTTTTATGGCGTGCGCGGGTGGCCCGGGGACAGCTTGCAAAAGATACCGCCATCAACCACGGAAGATGAGTAAAGTTCAACAAAGAAGCTGTGTCCAAACAGTGTACGCATATGTCGATTGCGAAAGGCTAGCAGCCTAACTTTTTTCATTACTGCATTTTTCGTTCCTCTCGAAGAAGTTTTCATAAAGTTAACCCCACGTAATAAACGCACCCCCCAGCTTTGCTCCCATTTTTGGAAAAAAAATGCATTTATTATGTGAGTAAATATGGTATTAGTAGATTCACTTCAGTCCTGAAAAGCCAGTAAACAGGTCTAGAATTTTTTTCTACACCCCGCAAACAATCTATCCAGCTTGCACATACACCGCGGCAATCACATTTTTCAAACATTACAGTGCTGTGCACTGAACAGACTCTCCACTTCAAAAAACAATCCTATGCCTGTTTCCTTCACCTCACTAATCCTTCTCGCACACACAGAGGGACGAAAGCTTGCCTGGGCTACCTTGCATACGACTGAGCTTGTCGATTGGTCTCCTTTGCTCTCCGAAACGGCACCTTGGCCCTGCGGTAATGCAGTTTCAGCCGCGTGGTGTGCATTTTCATTTTCTTGTGCTGCCCTTTGCCGTTTTGTGGTGCCCGAGACTACCAGAAGAAGCAGCATTGCCGGAATGAAGTCCTCCGAATAAAAAGGCGTCTTGCTACTTTATCGCTACGGGAGGGGTGCTCTTTGAACTGCGCTTTCTCAACGCTCTGCTATTACACATGCTCATGTGGGGCATGCCCTCCTCGGTTGTTGGCTGCGCGCAGATGACATATCGCAGATTTGGTGTCACGTTGCCAAAGTGAGCGGATTCACAACGACTGGCAACGCCTTTCCTCTCCCTATGGCAGAGGAAAATAGCGAAGGTTGCACAAAAATTTGAAACCCGTTGAAACGAATGTTCTAACCTCTGTAACTTATTATAGTGCGCATTTGCAAAATTTTAGCGGCAGCATGTCTTCGTGACAATTTTTGGACTTAGGGTTGTTTACTGGCCCTTCAACATGAACTTCTGATTTAATAGACCTGCTAGAGGCCTTGAATCTGTCAAAGGAATTGAGCAGTAGAAAAGAAAGCAACAAATCACTGCATGCATGTCTTTTACTGCCCTCAAGGGCTAAAACAACCACAGTTATGTCCAGACTAGCCTAAAAACCTTCAGGTACACCTTGTAATTGTCTAGTTGCTCATTAACTAACAGTAAAGTAAAGAAAGACCTGCTTTTATGGTAATCTGGTTGCAAAAATATTTATTGTCAAAGCTCAGTGAGCTTACTCAGCCAAGCCTTGCCTTACAGCAATTTCACAGCTCTGACTGCTCCGGGAGAGTCGTTCCAGTGAAAAATGAAGGCATTGTGTCAAGTGCACGTAACAAAGCTCATGGGGATAGCTTGGCAGGCTGTCTCCTTGAGATGCATCATGAAAGGCTTCAGTGCACATAAAGATGGGTAATGAAAGAACAACACACAAGGTACAAGCCAACAAAAGTGCTCCTAGGCCAAGCACCAACAAAAGTCATTAAAAAAAAAAACTCATCATTTTTTTCACATTGCCTCAGGCAAGTCAGTTAAAAAAAAAAAAACATCATTTTTTTCACATTGCCTCAGGCTTGTCAATGTTCAAAAAATCCATCTCCTTTTTTTTGAAAAGTACACAGAAGCAGTGCTCACACAATTTCCTACCTAACGATCAATTTGGTGGGCTATCATCACTTCGAATGTCGGCTTATCCTTTGCTCGAAATTACCGAGGACTGCTCGAAAAGCAGCTCTCTGGCAACAATTCTGCAGTGCATCGACAAGTGGCCTGATACAACTGTCTTCCCAACTAAATTCGTGTGCTCCCTTGGCCTATCATTCAGACCTACTGGATGGTTGTAGTGCCTACATACATAAAGTCGGGCACAATCTGAAGAAAATAGGCATGTCTGCTGGTGTAGACGTAATCATTTTCACCCCTAACAACTGTTACAACTTTCTCGACTTATTGACACTGATGTCAAGAAGAGAAAAGAATGCTCCAAAAAATACTGTCAACTGTGAAGAATGTGTCATCCACTTGCTGCCCTTGACTTGCGGCAAAAGGTGCACTGTAGACTCTCAGAAAGCAGAAATCTGTTTAATGGAATAGCTGCCTAAACGGAACAAATGTCTCTGATATTATTGGTTTTGTGTATGTATTCTACACTCCCGTTTCTCTATTGGTAAACAAAACTTCTGTTAAATAGAAGATATTGTCACGGGGTGGGGATGTTGACGAAGGGAGTAGACTGTAGGTCCAAGTTGGAACTGCTTATTTGGCCGAACTTCTGACCTGTGAACAAAAAGTCATATTACGGTACACACTAGCACTGATAGCAGTAATCTGAGCATTGGCCGTGGATCGACTGGCAAGTGGCGAAGACCATCGGCATTTAAACATGTGTGGTTGAATATTCCAGCCTTATCACTGGGCATCGCACAAGTTCTGAAGTAATCTCGAGTGTTCGCGCGTTGTCAACAATCTTAACAGATCAATGTACAATAATCGCATACCTTCTCGAACAATGAGGCACAGTTTAGGCGGAGCAATTCTGACAGGCTGTGTGGGTGAAAACTAAATGGAACAAGAGTGAAAGATAAGAAACTACCGTGGCAATATTTTTCTGGTCTTTTCAGGTTTTGAGTCTGCTGTATTGGAAAAGTTAACCTGTACATCTGTGTGCAACTGTTTGCAGTTAAGACAAATGAGAAGCAATGACTGTTTTTTTTTATTATTATTGGTCTATCTTGCAAGCACATTGCCTTTCTTCTTCACGGCCAAAGACAGTCATAGCTGTGCTGCATTCTAGCCTGCGGGCCGGTTGTGCGTCAAGCTAAGAAGCTGCGTATTTTGCTTGTGTGTACAGGTGGTGGAAGATGCATTACACGTGCTGCTTGAGGACATTGTGCAGCAGGAGCTGCAGGTCATTGGCGAAGAGTGTGCGCTTGGTGAAGTGGCCGAGCTGACAGCCACATCCCTGCTGGAAGAAGAGACACGGCAGCTCTCCATGTGAGCCACATGTCGAAGCAATTTCAATTCAAGCAATTAAGTTCATCATGTGGGTTCTCGGTTTAGAATTGACAAAGCAGCCTTAGGAATAGTTGTCTGTTGTACGGATTTGTGTTCGGTCCAGCCATGTTCTTGTAAAATTGGCTGTGCAGAAGAGAAGCTTGCATGCTCATAAAGAAGACAGGAATTTTGTTCAAACTGGTCAGGATGTGCAAGTACTGGGCACGGTTCGCCGCTGATCTAGGCCTTGCCACACCAGCTTGGATTGGGGTGATCTCAGCGCTGTGCTTAGCTGCAGGAGTAAAAAAATGGTTTGCCCACTCCGCAGATGCCACAGACTAGCAAGGGCTGAATACAGTGAAATCTCAGTAAAACGAACCCCACATTAAAAAACTTTTCAGGTTAATGAACTTTTAAAAAATCCTGTGTCGACTGTTAATAGTTTCAATGTAAAATTATCCTACTATCACATACTTCAGAATACCGAACTTTTCAGAATAACAGTGAAATCTCGGTAAAACGTACCCCACATTCACTTCATTTCATTTTATTTTACCCTCAGGACCGAAGTATTACAGAGGGGAGTGGTTAACAATACATACAAAAGTAAAACAAAAATAAAGCAGCAAGAGTGGCTAGGTAATACAAGAAATAATTGGTCACTTAAGTCCTGGAGTGATGATGTTCATAATAGCCAAGTAAAGCTTTGAGTGTTCCTTGATAAAAACAATAGTGCCGGGAAGGTGGTTCCATTTTTGAGACGTCCTGGGAATAAATGATTCGTGACAGGTTCTGGTATGGCAGTGCATTATCCCAACCCTATGGACATGATCAATGCGAAAAGAAATGTAAGAAGGAGATGAGAAAAGGTTTTCACGCAGGTAGGAATTGTAGAAATATAAGTTATGAAATAAAGCAAGAGGAAAACACTTACGTCGGGATGAGAGGGGAGGAAGTAGTAAGGAGTTTTTCATGGAAGTTACGCTTGATGTTCGGCTGTAATTGCTATAAATGAAACGAGCGGCGTTATTTTGGATTAGTTCAAGCGATTGAATATGGGTGGCAGAGTGAGGGTCCCAGATGGATGATGCGTAATTAATTTTACTCCTAATGAGTGTTTTATATAAGGTTAATTTTAATGAGGAATGAGCAGAAGAGAATTGATGATTGATATGTGGGGTTTAACGTCCCAAAACCACTATATGATTATGAGAGACGCCGTAGTGGAGGGCTCCGGAAATTTCGACCACCTGGGGTTCTTTAACGTGCACCCAAATCTAAGCACACAGGCCTACAACTTTTTTGCCTCCATCGGAAATGCAGCCGCCGCAGCCGGGATTTGAACCCGCGACCTGCGGGTCAGCAGCCGAGTACCTTAGCCACTAGACCACCACGTCGGGGATGAGCAGAAGAGAAGTTTTGCCGGATATATTCTAACATCCGGTTAGTATTGCTCATTAGCTTATCAATGTGTAGAGACCAAGAAAATGTTGAGGTTATGTAGACGCCAAGGTACTTGTAGAATTTTACGGCTTCTAGGGGAATGTTATTAAGATACTAGCTTGGCAGAGGGACATTGTTACGAGTTACACGCATTGTTTTACATTTAGAAACGTTTAGCTGCATCAGCCATACGTCACACCAGTTAGAGATAGTGTTAATATAGTCTTGTACGGACCTGTTATCGTTGATGATTATCGTTGATGATGTTATCGTTGATGTTATCGTTGATGACTGTTATTGCACTTGGATCGTTGTTATCTGAGATTTTGCGGAGGATGACGCAGTCATCTGCGAAAAGATAAATGTTAGAGGAAACAGCGTTAGGTAAGTCATTAATGTAACGAAGAAAAGAAGAGGGCCTAAAACTAATCCCTGTGGTACACCAGAGTCCACAGGGTTAAATGAAGATGTATGACTGTTTGATGCAACGTATTGTGACCGATTTAAGAGAAAATTTTCAAGCCATCTAAACAGGTTAACATCAAGACTAAGTTTACTAAGTTTAAAGAGAAGAAGTTGGTGACATACTTTGTCGAAGGCCTTGGCGAAGTCAAAAAATACACAGTCTGCGAAAGAACCTTTGTCAAGAATAAGATAGAGGCTGTGAGTAAAAGAAAGAAGTTGTGTTTTGCAAGAAAAGTTTTTTCAGAAACCTTGTTGTGATTTCGTAAAAAAGAAAGTTACTGTCTAGGTGCTTTGCTAAGTGTGAGTACAGAATATGCTCGAGAACCTTGCAGGAAATGCTGGTGAGAGAAACGGGGCGGTAGTTGAGGGGTGAATTTCTGCTACCGGACTTGTGAATCAGAGCCACCTTCCCAACCTTCCAGTCAGCAGGTAGCTGATAGGTGTCTAAGGATTGCTGAAAGATTCTTGAAAGTAGAACAGATGAATAAACAACAGTACTTTTCAAAAATTTAGCATTAATTAAATCTGAAACCGGACTTGATGACAACTTGAGACCCTTAATTACAGTTTCAATCCCAAGAGGCTCAATGATAATAACATCCATAACAGGGTAATTGCAACACTCAATATGGGGAAATTCGGGTTTAGAAAAAAGCACGACAACGTTGTTGCAGAAAGCAAGATTAAGGAGCTGGGGGCATACATTGTCAGGTATTGGTAAACCGGTGGAATTGACCAATGCCATGGAATTGTCGCTAGAAGGGTTTATAACTCGCCAAAATTTTTTGGGATCGTTTGCAAGCATTGTCAGCAATGTGTGCATGTGAAATTACTTTTGGCAAGCTTTATTGCCGCTATATAGGCTCTGTTCATTTCCTTGTAGGCATCCCATTTCGAAGCCAAACCACTTTTTTTTATTATTCGATACATTCGCTTTTATTTTTTTATTAGAAAGCCTTTTTAACTGTGCGCTGAACCAGGGTTTAACATTACAGGATATTTTACTCGAGGGGATTTGTCGGTCAGCTCAAGTATTTTCTTTTTAAACATTATCCAGTTCTCGTCAACGGTGCGATCATCAAAATGGTTGAAAAAGGGATCAAGGAAGCTCGCTAGCTCAGCATTAATGTCATAAAAGTTTGCCTTATTATAGCGATAAATTAACTTTTTTTCAACAGTTCGTTTTAGCGCGGGAAGTAATGAACGAGAGACCAAGGTGATCACTTTAAGCCTGGTATGCATGCAACATTGGTAACTATGTCAGGATGAGAACATGAGATTACCGTATTTACTCGATTCTACCGCGCCCTCAATTGTAACGCGCACCCGGTTTCCATGACGAAAAAAAAAAAAGTAAGACATCGATTGCAACGCGTACCCATTTTTCTCGTTGGCCCGCAAGATCGCACCAGTCGGGAAAACGACTCTTTTCGGGAGCGTCTTCCATTTAAATATGAGGTACGGGGGAAGCTTGTGCCTATCTGACGTACAACGGAGCATTGCCGTCACTCTAGTTTTACCGTGGCCCGATGTCAGCACGCGAACCTTGCTTCGCCCCCTTCTGCTCGACTGTTGTGGTGCCAGGCATGTCGAAGTAAGAGGCGTCTGATCGGCATTCCCTATTTGCCCAAGCAGGTAGCCGTTCTTGTGCCGCAAGTTTAGGACAAACCTCTGAAAACTGTTAAGCTTTTCTTCATACTCCTCCGGCAAGTTTTGACCCATGCCCGTTCGCTTTCGGAGGGAAAAGACTAAAGTTAGTTAGCCTAAAGCCTGAAGTTAGTTAGCCAGCACCTGCTCGCTTTGAACTGGCTCCGCGTTAGCCCTTTTTGTAAAGCTAACTGCATAGCCCGCACTTGGAGCAGTTCTGTCGTCACGGGCCGCTGTGCCACTCGCTGCTCAAGCACATACTCAGCGAGCAGCTCTTCAATTTGGGAAAACTGACCCTGCTGTGGTCTACTGAAGCCTTTGCGTGAATCTTTGCTGTCGACAATCTGCTTTTGTTTCCGCCAGTCCCGCACGCACGTTTCGGAAACTCCGAACGATCGCGATGCGGCCCGATTTACGTTCGTTTCAGCACACGCGATGACTTTTCTTTTAATAGCGGCATCGTGGTGCACTCGTCGAGTTTTTCAAGTCGGGCCTTCCATGCCGTCGATGCTAATGCACTACAAGATGACGAACTCCTCAGCACACGTACGAAGTGCCGCACATGGGAAACACATAGGCAGAAATGGCCGACGTGCCATGCCGACGCACGTAGGGGCGGCCATTTTGGAAATGCCTATGGCAATAGAATGACCGTATTCATTTTTTTTTCGTACTTGGTTCTAACGCGCATGCGGTTTATGAACTCGCTTAACCGGAAAAAAGGTGCGCGTTAGATTCGAGTAATTACGGTAGGTCGAGGAGGTTAGCGGCATTGTTCGAGATTCTTGTTGGTTCGAGTACTAATTGTGTCAGTGAAAATAAGGAGCAGAGATCAAGGGATTCCTTACATTGTGAAGAGAAAGGATTACAGCATGGAGGATCAGATTCCTAACACATATTGGGAAAGTTGAAATCTCCCAATAATATAATGGGGTTAATAAACAATTGTATCGGGCCAGTTGGTAAGGATCCATCTTGCTAGGAAGCGCAGCCACTATAACACAGAACACACACACAAGCGCTTAACTTCAACTAAACGTTTATTGCAACGTCAGAGTTTATAAAGGGGGTAAAAAGAGAAAAAAAAGAATAATAAAATGTAGACAACAAAGAACACACGTGCCAGTCCTGTACATTACTATCAGTTATTATCAATCACCCATCCAAAAACATAGTTCTTTCCGCATCAGCGAGATAGAAGGCGCACTAACACACTCAAAATCATCGCGTGTCATTTCCACCACTTCTACTATCAAACGGGTTAATAAATCTCTTAATAAAGTGCAGTAGGTTAATAAAGTGCAGAAGGGTTCAGATGGTCACTTGGCGATCCACTTTAAGGAGTGCGGTTATGTGCCTTATTTCGATAAGACGTGTGTGTCATATCGGGACAGAGATTTGTTAACCCAATTGATAATAGAAGCGGCGGAAATGACACGCGATGGTTTTGAGTGTTGATTGATTAGAATGACACGCGACGATTTGATTAGAAATCATTTGAACCAAATCACCATTTGCCTTGAACCTATAATTCACTAATTGCACCAGCCTAATCTTGATTTGTCAAACATTGTTTGATTTTCATGTTTCAGTTTTATTTGATAGCTGGTGAGAACGCACCACACTTGTCAGTGCTTTATTTCAACATATAGTTGCCAAATATCTCAAAGGTCCTAATTGCTGCTATATAAAAGCTTGTCTCAGGTTACATAAATGTGGCATCTTTTGGCAGTGAATAGGAATCGTAATGTTCTCTTGTTAAAGATTGTGAGCGTCCGTTTCAAATAATACCTGGAATTCTAGGGTATGCAGAATTCTAGGGAATTCTAGGGTATGCCTACGTCACGGCGCCCGGAGGTCCTTATCACCGACAGAGGAACGGCATTCACTGCCGACTTAACTTAAGCGATCTTGGCATACAGCCAAACAAACCACCGCTGGACGACAGCGTACCACCCACAGACCAACGGCCTCACCGAGCGGCTTAACAAGACGATCGCCGACGTGCTGTCAATGTACGTCGATGTCGAACACAAGACGTGGGACGCCATTCTTCCGTATGTGACCTTCGCATACAACACGGCGGTGCAGGAGACGACGCAGATATCTCCATACAAATTGGTCTACGGAAGGAGCCCGGCAACGACGCTCGATGCCATGTTACCCAACGTCACCGACGAAGAAAACCTCGATGTGAGTGAGTACCTTCATCGCGCCGAAGAAGCCCGACAACTTGCGCGGCTCCGTATCAAGAATCAACAGACGACCGACAGCCACCGTTACAACCTTCGACGACGCTTCGTCGAATACCAGCCCGGTGAACGTGTTTGGGTGTGGACGCCGATACGCCAACGTGGACTAAGTGAAAAGCTTCTGCGACGGTACTTTGGACCATACAGGGTGGTTCGACGTCTTGGCCCACTTGATTACGAGGTTGTCCCCGACGGCATCACGAACTCTCAACGACGCCGATCGCGACCTGAAGTCGTCCATGTCGCACGCCTCAAGCCGTTTCATGCGCGTAACAACTGAAACAGTGCTTTTTTTGTATTATTGTTGTATCCTAATTTATTCATTGTACTTTCTTGCATTATTATTGTACCTTCATCTTTAGTTAAAGCATCGAGACGATGCCTTTTTCAGAGGGGGGCAATGCCACGTTCCATTTCCCAAGTTTTTGTTATCGTCCCAAAACACCACACGATTCTCAGCGCAATTCGCGCCTGCAGTTTTCGAGAGGGTTCCGGACTGTAGTAGATCCTGTCGATAAGATCACGCCACTGTGCGATGGTACAGATTGTTCTGGAACGTACGCCGCGCCGCCAGCGGTAGCGCCAGAACATTCGACGGCGGGAGTATAAATGCGACGCGCTTCGCCGCTTGTCAGTTGTTGATCGAAGGCCGACGCTCCGTTCGCCGCTATCAGTCTGAGACTGCTATCTGTGCGAGACTGCTGCTGTAATTGACTGTCTGTTTACCGGCACAGGTTACACCCAAATAACCGTTAAATCCCAACAAGATGTTCCTGGCTTCGGCCACGTCACGACCCCGTGACATTTGGCTCTCTCTGACCTCTCGCAGAGGCGAGAGGTACTGGGATCGGTACCCAGCACCTCCACCAGGATTCACGGGGTCGTGACGTGGCCAAAGACAGGAAACTTCGTGTTGGGATTTAACTGTTTATTTGGGCGAACCTGTGCCCGGTAAAGGGAAAGTAATTACCGCAGCAGTCTGCACAAGGACAGCAGTCTCGGACTGCTAGACGCGAACGCAGCGTCGGCCTTCGATCAACAAATGACAAGTGGCGAAGCGAGTCGGCATTTTATACCCTTGCCGTCGAATGTTCTAGCGTTATCGCTGGCGGTGGCGTAGGTTCCAGAACCAATCTGTACCGTTCGCACAGTGGGCGTGATCCTATCGAAATGATCTACTACAGTCCGGAACCTTCTCGAAACCTGCAGGCGTGGTTTGCGCCGAGAATCGTGTGGTGTTTCGGAATGATAACAAAAAACTTGTGAAATGGAACGTGGCAATATATAACCATTTATAAAATAATGGATTGGCTAAGGCACTCGGCTGCTGACCCGCCTGGTCGCGGGATCAAATCCAGGCTGTGGCGGCGGCATTTCCGATGGAGGCGGAAATGTTGTTAGGCCCGTGTGCTCAGATTTGGGTGCACGTTAAAGAACCCCAGGTGGTCAAATTTTCCGGAGCCCTCCACTACGGCGTCTCTCATAATCAAATGGTGGTTCTGGGACGTTAAACCCCACAAATCAATCAATTAAAATGTTTAAGAAAGCTGAATGTTGCGGGAGTTGGTTTTCGGACATTAATACTATAGTAAGTAGCACAACAAAACAGTGCAACATCAATGAAAAGATCATTACAGGCGCAATCTGCTCGAAAGCCACTTGAATGACCTTCACTTTGTAGTTTCCTTTAATTTGACATCATCACTATTCTACTTGTATTTTATTGAGTTCTAGAATTTACTATTTACACATCCCTGATAAACAAAAGACCATGAATGCAAACTTACTTATTATTACAAACTTATTTAGGCAGCCCCGTCGCGGTGGTCTAGTGGCTAAGGTGCTGACTCTCAGGTTGTAGGATCGAATCCCAGCTGCAGCGGCCGCATTTTTGATGGAGGCGAAAATGCTGTAGGCCTGTGGGCTCAGGTTCGGGTGCACGTTAAAGAACCCCAGGTGGCCAAAAACTTTATGGAGCCCTCCACTATGGCGTCTCCTATTATATGGTGGTTTTGGAACATTAAGCCCCACATATCAATCAATTATTTTTATTCAGGCAGGAATAAGAATCAGCCTGCTTGCTACTTGAATGGGTGCCAGTTGTGTGCCCTAAGTGGATGACAGGCACTGTCGTGTGTTGCAGGGCAGCCTGCACGGAAGAGTTCCTTCACGCGGAAGAACAACGCTTGCAGGAGAAGCTTCTTGCCAAGAGGAGGACACGGGAAGATGAGCAAAAGGCACAGGAGCACCTGATTGAGGACATCCTTCATGAGGGGCTCCAGAGAGAGATGGACGACATTTGCAGGTAAGCAATTTAAGGCACCGCAGGCATAGCAACAGTTTTGTTTAGTATATGGAAATAAACTGTACTTGTACAGTCCTGGCAATCATTGAAGTAGGCTTGTGCAAATGTTCGAATTTAAATTACTAAATATTTCGTAGTCGCAAATGTACATATATTAGCCTACGTGTAACCCTTTGTGAAGGTAGTTTCACCGTAATAAAGGGGGCGTCATAAAGGTGTTGTAATTAAGGGGTTTAACTGTAATGAAAGCACCTATTCAAATGTATATATTTCTTATGTAATACTTTGTAAAGGTAGTTTCGCTGCAATGGTATAGTGCTAAACCATGAAAACAATTATTTAGGGGGAATACGTTGGAGGAGATTGCCGAAGCGCAGGAGCGGGCCCAGCTCGCGCGCCTTTCGAGCTCCCAGACCGGCAGACATATACTCCGAGAGCTCGGTCACTCTCCGGCTGAAGTGGACGAGAAGATGAGACAGGTGCCCCGTGAGATTCGTGACCTCATCACCGTGGCACCGATACCGAGGAATGTTCATCCCGAGCAAAATCGTGGTAGGCGACGGGCTAGAGCTGCCACTCTTCTCAAGCAGATTCACAGTGAGGAGCACGGCGTCAGCCTTGTCGACGCGGCCGTGTACCGTGGGAGCCGCGCCTTCTCCGCAGTCGTCGTCGACTCCAAACAACAAATCACCAACTGCGCATCGGTTCACACTGACGATCCGACGGTTGCCGAGCAAGTGGCCATCGCCCTCGCCATCCTGGAAGGTGAAAGGGAGGTCATCTATAGTGACTCTAGGTCAGCTATTCGCGCTTTCGAGCGCGGTGTAATCTCCAAGAAAGCCCTGCGCGTGCTCCAAAGTGGTGGCCGCGACGGCATCAAGCACCACGTACTGATTTGGTTTCCTGCACATGTTGGACAGGTCCAAGGCGCTCCCCCAACCTCAACGAGTCTGCCCACGAGGCCGCGCGCGCACTAACCGACCGCGCGGGTTCCGGGCAACGATTCGGGGCCAACGGGGTTGCGGAAAACAGGGACGCGCCTGCCACGTACAACGAAATAACAAAATATTTTTACCTCGCGAGGAGACAATATCCACTCCCTCATCCAAATCTTAACAGGCCACAGGCCCTTTCGCTCAGACTACTGCAGACCGACACGTACCCTAACCTGAGATCCTTCACGCTATTTATCCTGATGTCACACACAGGTCCCGTTAATTAGGGAGGCGATCGCCGGGCTAATTCTAAGGGCCGAAGTATGGGCCCTCCGAACCGCACCACGAAAGCGTGGACAATTTAGAAGTGGTCCTTTTTGGCGCGCCAGGGGACGCCGGCTGTGGCCCAAAGAACAAGTCAGAGCCGAGAGTTGATAAACAAAACAAATATTATATTCTCAAAAATGGCAGATCGAAAACAATACACAAGAATGCACACTCCACAATAGTTACATACAATACGTCACCAATCAAACAACGTACTACACAGTACAATCAGCCACACTCAAAACAACGGACACAGACAACGATACGCACTACAATGCAGTCGCATGCATTGAACAACCAAGACACTTAAAGACTAAAGAGATAGAAAACCTATCCAGTCCAAAGTTCTTGGAACAAAAGTCTGGATGACACTTTTCCGAGAATCACTCACTCAAAGTTCAGCGTTGTTGTCGTTCCGCGCCCTCGAAGTTTCTCTTCCAGGAAACCTCGCGTCTTCAATTGGCCTCTCTCCACGCTTCAAACTTCTTCGCCGGAAACACGTTGGCTCCACACACGCAGCTGTTGCCACGCGTCCTCGCTCGATAGCGGTAGACACACGCTCTTGCCTGTAGCTCGAGCCTTCACCCCTCAAGTGGAAATCCTCTTCTTCTCCTGCTTTGTCGCTACAGACAAAACCTTCGCCGACTACACGGCGGAATCCCTACGCGCTCAGGCGCTAACTTCCGTCTTCTCCTGCTCTCTCGTCTCCGCTGCTCGGTTAAATACCTTCCGCACGACATTCCAGAAAGTTCTCGTCATTTCGTCGGCGCGATACGCAGCGAAGGCTGGGTAGGGGGTGAGACGGTTCGAATGCCCTCCGCGATGGATGACTCAACCCGGCGTGACCACGCCTCTTTCGTTCTAGAATTCTCGCGGCTTGCTCGGCCGCCGATGTGGGGTGAGGAGGTTCGTCGGCGAAGCCACGCTTCCGAGGGGA